GTCTTACATCACACCTTGGTTTAATCCGACTTAAATTTTTTTCAAATATAAGTTATTTTACTGATTCTAGAACGATATAACGTCAACGCTCTCGTGTCAACCATCGTCAAGTAAGGATTTGTTGGTGAAGAGATTCAATTATCACTCAGAACGGGTTTTGCTTACCACTGCAGAGAATAAGGCAATTCCTGATGCCGATTTGGAAGAACCATCAAATGCAGGAAATGTAAAAGTATGAGATTTAATTCGCTTCTCGAATTTTGAGCTAGTTTACGACTTTTCGAGAATTTGGAATAGATATTTGCTTTCATCAAGTACTGATATTTCTAGGCCACATCATACCTCTGCGAATTCTGCCTTTCTGAGTCCGTTTTCCCAGATTCTAGAATTATAAAAATTTCTTGCATTTTTTTTTTGTTGATTTTATAAAAGTTTTTTTAAAATAATAGACCAACAAGATTGTACGCAAGCCATGTGTAAGGTGTTATTTTATGGTTGAAGTTTTTTGTGAATTTTTGTAGATTTTGAAAAACTCTCACTGCTTTTGCGTATTTCTGGATTTCTTTTTCAGAACGTTGAAGCAAAAGTAAGAGAAGAGGGCGAAGATGAAATAATGCTGGAAAGTGAGGAGTTGAGGTTTGACAAGCATGAGGAGCAGGTAGACTCAATTTCGTTTGCCCTGGGTGATGTTATCAGGCCAGCGAAACGTTATAGCGATGAAAAAGCGCAAGCTTATCGAGATTCAGTACTGAGGATATGTGAAACCATGCAAAGCGATGAAGATTTTGATGTAAGTTACCTAAACCAACAGTGCTTTATTCAAAAAAAAAAATAATCCGATGGTAAGGGAAATGTGGTAGCAACTCGAAGCTGCCGTCACACAATACCATTCGAACACAAAACAGTCATTGGTCATTTCTAATCACATTATCTAAATATCACGGAGGGGGAACTCGAGTCATGAGACGGGACATTTGCATATAAAACTGAAGGACAGCTGGGTAAGGCGAAGGGTTTTAGCCACTAGCTTCATCGTTTCCTTACTGCTAACAGCACCTTCTTCCTTTTACAGCATCTGGGACTGGTAGTGCCTTTTTCACACCGCATTATTTGCTATACTTATATGATTCATGGACATAGACTTTTTTTTTCAGATTTTTGCCCTCTTGCTTGTAAATTTTCTTTCCAGGATCGCATGGAGTTCGATGATGACTACGAGGATTTGTTGAGGTTAGCTACAGCCGGCAAAGAGTTCGAATCGGAAAAAGACAGCACGGCACAACTTCAAGCAAACGAAATGGTTGACTTGCAAGCTATGCATGATTCTGTAGCTGAACTGTTGAAGCATTTCTGGATGTGTTTTCCTCCGACAACTCCTGAAATGGAAGAAAAGGTTGGTTTCTTTAACAGGTCCTGTGATAGAAGATCAGCATCAAAGATGGTTCTAGGATTATCCCGGTTTTCCACCTCTGCTGCCCGAGGGTAAAATTTCGAAAATTCGGGTATCCGCAAGACATTTTGATGATAGTTTTTTGGATCTTCGGGTTTCCTTTTCTGTGTTCGAATGGAGAACATATTAAAAAAAAGTTTTTCCAGTGATAAAAAGTAAAGAGCTGAATTCAGTCTCATTTTTTCCGCTTAAATTATCGTCAGATTATTGATGGATCGTTG